TATGTTATTGTCCAGATAAAAATAAGCGACACGTATTTTTTTATACATACCCATACGCACTTTTAGGGGGTGAAACATTCTTTAGAAGAAAATCGGTTTTTCTCTTTCGAAGCGAATATCACCAGAACTGCAAGAGATAGAAAAAATTTTTATAATGAAAATTGAATGGCTTCAAGAGTACTTTAAAACTATTATATAAAAAAATTTTTTTAATTATTTATTCGTAACAATTATTTATTTATAAAGAAAAAATTTTTTTTCTTTATAATTATATTTCTAAAGTACTCATAATGCCATTGTAATCATAATGCGTATGGGCACGTATAAAAAAATACGTGTCGCTTATTTTTGTCTGGAGAATAACATATTAAAAGCTTATTAAAATCGGAGGGGGACAGTTGCGTCCCTTTCCTTGTAAATAAATATTTTTATTCTTAAAGTTTTTGTTTTAAAATCGTGTATAATTGTCTGAGATATTTTATTTCCATTTAAATAGTAAGTGTAGTTCTTACTTAATAAAGTCCAACATATAGTTTTTGTTTATCTGTCTTTGTTATTGTATACTGTTAATGTTTTTAAAAAATGAACGGATGGGGCTAGTAGGCTAACCACAACGCGGGGCTATATGATTAATTTAGTGACGATTCTGATAGTATCTACTCTCAAACTTCTTGGAATAAAATCTTACTCTAAAAGAATGAAAATACAGTCAGCTTTGAAAAAGAGTGAAAATATTTCACTTCTTGGAAAAGAGGATCAATATTTCATTCCTTTAAAGATGTTTTACCTCAGTGGTAAATTATAAGTTTAGTTCCCTTACGTCCAATCTCGATAAATTAGGCTTATTCGACGTGTTTTTGTACGAAATGAACGAATTTAGCAAAAAGAAGCATTATTCTGCCTTGCGAATCGAAATATTAATTGTTAAAGTTTATTTAGAAAATCTGTCATTCGCTACGCCCTGGTAAAAACGTTAATAGAGAACGATAGAAAAATCTTATCGTTTCGAATATGAAATTTGGTTCGTAAATTCACTAATTTGAATCAGATCTTATAGGAATCTTGTACAAATCTTATAAAATCCGATAAAACACTATAGGATTCATATCCGGTCAATCGTGATGTTCGCGAGGTCAACGATAGAAAATGATATAAACTTTTAGAAAACGATACAAATTGATAGAAACCCTATCATTCTCAATCGTTCTCTATCAACTTTTTTTACCAAGGCGTAGGCCAAGGCGATGTCATTCTGTTCCATAAATAGTTATATTTTCACTCTTTTTGAGATTTCACTCAAAAAAATTTAGAGAGAATTCTTTTTTATTTTAAATGCATTTATTTATTTTAATGCAATAATATTTATATAATAATAGTAGTTTTAATGAATTTTATTAATAAATGCAATAATAATTAAATTACATGTATAAGAAATCTTTCATGCATGAATATCTGTAAATATGTATAAACATACATAATATAGTAAATTATACATGTTTATAAACATTTATACATAAACATTTATAAATATTCATAAACATATATAATTATATATGAAATATGTCCATATATGTTCATATAATCCTTTTTTTTTTTGTAAAATTACTTTTAAGTTTAATAGAAATACTTATAATAATGTGATGATATTAAGAATAGTTAACAGAATAATTTTGTGAACATGTGGGCACATTCTAAATGCATAAAGAATAACTTATCGTATTATGTTTGTTATAACTATAAACTTCGGATAACGATTCAGATTAGATAAATTGTTATTTAGTACAAAGTTATACATTTTTATAAAAGTTTTGATAATATGTAGCCAAAGATGTACCTTAAAATATACATTAATCTTCATTTTAATAATGTTAGTCAAATTATCCCATACCATCAGTCATTTTACCCCGGTCCCGGGGCTAGTTAAATCAGATGGAATGCATTAGAAAAATGCATTTTTTTTATATTAATTATCAGTTTTTTCTTATTATTAAAATATTATTAGATAGTCAAATGTATGTAGTAACTGGCATAGAATTCATTTTTTCGATAAGTCTCTTAATTCCGTCTGCAAAAATTCAAAACTGAAAAATGAGCCTACTAGCCCCGATCTCCCCTATATTTTCTCATATTATATTTATCATATGAAATAGGCAAGTACATTATTTTTTTATTTCTTACGTTTTTCCCCTAACTTCATAAGGTTCCCAATCTACATTGCGATTGGTAAGATATTTTGTTTTGCGTGTTAATATTTGTAAAGTAAACATTATTGAGCCATTCAAATCTCACAAAGTCTCGAGACTATTATTGATTTATTAGACACGGGCGTTTTTCGTATGCATGGGCGAATAGGTATGCATGGTCGTTAAATTTATTATGAGCATGTTCATTATTCCTCATCGTCAGTCTCATCGTACACTGAAAAAAAGAGTCTGGCGAGGAGTCAACCACTATGGTAATCAGTGTACATTTCTTTAGAAATATATTGTGGCAGTACAGTAATAAGACAGGCAATGCTAGCAGTCTAGTAGCAATATCAGCAACACACTAGCAATATGCTAGCAATATATAGCAATACATTAACAATACTTGGCAATATTGTGCGCAATAGGTGGCAATACATAGGAAAACAATACTAACAATACAATAGCAATGCTAGCAAAAGTATTGTTTGCCATAATTAGTAAGTGTTGTATTGCCATAATTAGCAACCACTGTACATTTTTTTAATAGTGGTTAACCCTTTCAGAGTCTGGTAATAGCTACTGAATGTGAAATAATGCCAATCAAATGTTTGATTAATATAACTAAAAATAATGTTACTTTTATACAAATATTTAATAAGTATTACCAAATTAATACCATTTGATAATACTTACTAAATATTTGTAAAAGTAACATTATTTTTGGTTATATTAACCAAACATTTGATTGACATTTGTTCTAATAAAATACTAATAAAATTATATATATATATATCAACCTTTCATTTCTGCATAATTTCTTACAAAAAATTTCCTGCTCATATTATCTCTAAGGATATTCATATTATCCTACCCAGGAGGTAATATGAGCACTGGGCGGGAAATAAGAACACCTGTCACGATTCCAACATTTGCATTAAAATAATTAATTTCATTACTAAAATACATAAAACATTAACAAATGGTATACACAAAATTTTTTTATTCTTCAGTATGCTAGAATACTAGATATATCAAAACGTTTCCTTAACTCTTTCAAACTTTTTGTAATTCATTTTTTGCATTTCTCAAGTATTATATTATATAATAATTAAAATTTAATTTTGTTGCAAATTTTTGCGGTTTTACTTCGATAAAATGTTCATAAGTGCAGAGAAATGTATGTTTTCGGTTAATTTTTTTGTTTTATTGTTTATATTAACAAACAAAGCGTAAAAAATAGGTTATTTAAAAAAAAAAATTCATATTGTGTATGTGTGTATGTGAAGGCAAAAAGTTACTTGACTAGGATGAAACTCGGAGGTTTTCGGGGTCACTGATTACGAATCTGACCTTAGATTTTCAAAATTCAAAATGGCAGATCCAATATGTGTAAAAATAGATTACAGAGGGTAAAAAAAATAAAGTTCATGTGCGGGAGATGCGAGTATGGTATTCCTACGTATTTTAGCCTCTGAACACGAATATGGTCATAGTTTTGCCCTAACACTAATTGTTAGTGTTTCTGAGATTATAAGAATTCCTGATGTGATGGGCAAAACTATGACCATATTCATGTTCAGAGGCTAAAATACGTAGGAATACCATACTCGCATCTCCCGCACATGAACTTTATTTTTTTTACCCTCTGTAATCTATTTTTACACATATTGGATCTGCCATTTTGAATTTTGAAAATCTGAGGTCAGATTCATAATCAGCGACCCCGAGTACTAAGTTTTATTGAAATCAAGCAGTTTTTCGCTTTTTTGTCCGTCATATTGGATCCGCCATTTTGAATTTTGAAAATCTGTTGTCAGATTCGTAATCAGCGACCACGAAAACTCCCGAGTACCTAATTTCGTTCCGATCAAGTAACGTTTTGCTTTTCGGTTCGCCATATTGGATTCGCCATTTTGAATTTCGAAAATCTGAGGTCATATTCGTAATCAGCGACCCCGAAAACCCCCGAGTAACAAATTTCAATTGAATTCTACGTAAAGAAAAATGTATGCTTCAAAGGGTTAAGATCCTCATAATACCCCATCCTACTCTATTTACTAAATGATGAAATTAGGATTTTTTACATAGAAGGCCCATTGGCCAAATATATTGCAAGCATCTAAAGTCTAAATTAATTTAATTATCGAAATCATATCGCGTTTATACATATCATCTCATTTCTATTATTTTGAAATGCGTTAATAATTTTATAACTATTACATGTAATAAATATATGTTATTATTAATATTCTTTATTTATAAACATCTAATAAATGAGGTAATTAACCCTGTATCTGACAAAGTAAAATTTTATCCTTTTGTCCATACCTGAGTCTTCGAACTTCATGCAGACTTTTATACTGTTTCAAAAACTGTACAAAAATTTTTTTAAATTCTTATATGCGAAAGTTTTTCACAACGAATTTCTACTATAATGGATTGTATGTTACTTATTTTTTGCAGATTTTAATTTATCTGCCAACACATTTACAAAAAAAATCGCCTGCGTCTTTAAAGTCAAACATTACCCCTAAGGTGGAAGATTAATGTCCTCTCTCATTATACTGTTCAAAAAATTATCATACACAATTTTTAAAAAATTAGACGCCATATAAGATCAGAAATAATAACAATTGAGAAGAATATAGGTATATTATTTGCTCTGTTCTAATTTATGCAACTGTAATTCGGAATCAAATTTGCAGCACGTAAAATGAAGAAATACGTTTATACGTGAAATTAGGAATACATAATACGAGCGATGATGTATCGGCGTTCTCACAACTTGTGTCATGCAATCTATCTGCCTTTCAGGTACGGTGGCCCGGATTCGTATCAGGTGACGGAGAAATTTAACATTGATTGGGGCACGTATCTTGTAACAAACAAAAGTATTATATATGCTGCCATTGACGGTCGCGGTTCCGGATTAATGGGTAACGACATGCTGTTCGCCGGATACCGACGTCTCGGCACTGTCGAAATTGTCGATCAGATCAACGTTACCAGGTAAGACTGTTGTTGTAAAATAATTCTGATTATGAACTTTTATTTTCCAAAAAATTATTTAATATTGATAAGAAGTTAAATTAATTAAGTCTCCTGAATCAATCGTACTAAATAATAATTTTATATTTTCATATCGGAAGTTTCAAAATTTACTTTTAATATGTAAAACCACGAATCCTAATAAAAAAACACAGAAGCGCCTTCTTCCGACTTTGATATGTAGCTGTTAATATGTAGTCTAAAACAAAATAAGGAATACGTATTTTTTATGCGAACTTAGGAGGTGTAACTCTTTGACAAAAATCAGTTAATTTCTTTTAAAGTAAATATCATAGAAACAAATTCGATAAGAGATCGAAAAATGTTTTTAATAAAAGTCGAATAGTTCCAAGAGTACTTTATATTAATAGTAAAAAAATGTTCAATCATTGTTATAAAGTACTCTTGAAACCACTTAACTTTTATGAAAACTTCGACAATATCATGTTGGTTTTTAATTTGAAAGAAACAAATCGATTTTTGTCAAAGAAGAGTTTCACCTCTTAAAACTGCATACACAAGTTCGTATAATAAAAAGTCTCTTATTTTATTCTAGACTATAATATATCAATGCTCATTAAAATTAGAAGGGAACACCTCTCTCTGAATTTCTATGTAAATAAATTTATTTTATTAAATCCCTCTCAGCAAGATCAATTCTCTGCTAAACTCATTTAACGCATCTCCGTCCAGTTTTTTCTGAAGAAGGATCTAACTTATAGCGAGCATAGTCGTATTCCATATGCACATAGAGTATAAGACGCATATTACATTTATCGCATTTATGCCACGTTTACATATAGAAGACGCATTATATCGTTAATTCGAGATTGCCTCCGACACCTGGCGCCGAGATAATTCTTGACGGTGACGTTAATGAACGAACGCAGACCATCGCAGGCAGAATCTGAGGCCAGACGCGCTCGTCCCCTAGAAGTGTGGCGAACAAAGTTTTGCTTTAGGACAAACCTAATTACAGACGAGGCCTCAAAGTGACTTATCACGGCGCGATCGGAGTAATTCGCTAAGTCCTAAGTTAACTAATCTAACTCTGGCTCTCCCGACATGTCCGAGGACCGTATTTAACGAAGTTCTTTTCACGGCGTAGGCACCTGAGAGAAATAGAGGGGGAAAGAGAGCACCCCGGCGCCGTCGTAGTAACAAGAAGAAAATTGCTCGTACTTTTATCTGAATTTATCGGCTGACCCTCTTCACCGCCGTCGAGTGGCGGGCACCACGAAGAAGAGCTGCGTTTTCCTCTCGTATTTCCACTTAGCTGTCAAGAGTAATTTATCTCGATGGCGGGAAAAGGGTGAGAGGAGGGAGAGGGGAAAGAGAGGGAGGAGGGGGCCGGGACCGGTAGTGTGAGAGTTCGCCACTTATGTGACCGTCCATCTTTAAACTGAAACATCAAACTTCCGGTCGTGATGAATAATGCTCATTCTGCGCCGGTAGCGAGGTCGTACCTCGAGGTTTTACCATTTAAGGGGATCCTAAAGTCGTCTTGTTTTACCATGAATATGTTTTAGGAGAAATCTCTGAATTGGATTCATGGATTCCAAAATTTTTTTACAGAATTAAAGAACGCTCAAAAAGAAATCCAGGAAAATAAGATTTCATGAGAAAATTGGGAAAAAATTAAAAAATTCATTTTTTCTGGCAAACGTACAACTGTCACTTGAGATTAACATTTGCTTGTGTTACGTCCAGCGGACTCCCATGACTCTTTTCTTTTATGGAGATCTGGAGTCTGTCAATACACATAGACAGTTACACGTAACTAATTTTTTCTAAAGCTCAAAAGTAATAAAAATCTTTTCGTACGGAAAAATAAAGTGAAGACTCCATTATCTCCTCATAAATGTCAGCTAGGATAACATAAGAATCGGTGCACGTGCGAGATTAAGGAAACTCCGATGACATTGTCCTTGGACACCGCAATTAAGAAAATAGTAAATAATGGTAAAAATATCAGTTGAAGGCGCAAAATCGGCGCCAGGACATTTCCTAACGGTCAAGTCGCGGACGATTCTTACGAGTCCGCGACTATAAAATACAAAACTAAAACGCGATGTCCAGGAGAAGTGTTTGTTGGTCCCGTGCCGACATTGCACGTGCGTTCACTTGACGGAATGCACGTGCATTTTTTCGTGAATTTTAAGACTATAAATTTAAGGATGATACTTTCTCACAGACTCTGGACATCTTCCCTTCCTCCCCCATAACATATCTCCAAATCTCGACTAATCCGAAAGTAAGAAAAGAATCTTACTGCCTCGTTAAACAGGGAAAAATTAGTATAAATACCGCAGTTCCGCGGCCCTCAGGGAGCTTTTTCTTCTGAAAGTGAAGACCTAACTTTTGTTCGTGATTTCTCCTCTCGGCCAAGAGTCTTTTCGTCTAAGAGTTGGATTCCCCTTTCTCGCAATAAGACAATCAAGACATATCGGCATAAATTCAGTGCGGGAAGAACTAATTCACTAACCAGTAACATCAATCGGCTCGCACAACTCAACGTCAGGACTCAACCGGGAGAATCGGTCTTCAGGACCCTTCACTGCTCGCCCGCTATCACGGTCAACAGGGTCTTCTTCCACCTCCACGGTACCAACTATTCCAGAGTATAGTAAGTCACCATTTGCCATTCACTCCCCTTTTCATTTTTGTTGATTTTATTTATTAAGACACCAACACTTTTAGTGCGTTCACGGCGTTCTTCACCCCCTCGTCGCCACCCTCTCGCGAGGACAGCTCGCTCGCGCCAGGTCTCTCGCGCCAGGTCCGACTCTTAATTACCAATGAACCAAATTCGCAACAGGGCCGCCGCGATCGCATCCGCGTAATCATAAATCTAAATGACACCCCAAGTGATTACCCCTCTGAATCTTCCGCCTAACCTTCTCTCTCTCCTCCTATCGAAATATTCTACTCACCCATCTCACACCCTTCCCCCGATTCTCTATCAGACCTCTCCTTTCTCGCACCTCCAGTTCTTTCATTTCCCACCGCCGAGCCATTAGCACCCATATCTTTCGAAATACTTCCTCCTAACGACTTCACACCTCCTGAAGCTTCACCCCTTCTTTTTCACAATGTCCAACAGGTCATCCAGAACCTGCATACCACCACTCCCTCTCCCGATAACTACGTGGTAGTCCATTTAGAGGGCTCCACCCTTTCTTTCGCCGTTCCACTCATCCACCTTGTTCTTCTCTGTCCTCACGCTTTCCAACTCCACAATCCCCTTCACATGTAATTCCTTCTCCCTAAAATACAACCAAGAACATACATACACGCACACAGACACATAAGCGACAATTAAAAATAAAATCTTTAGTTTAATAAATATATATGTATATATATATAGTATATATATAAATAGTATATATATAAATGTCCTTAAAAATGTGTATCATTTTTCTTTACCATTTAATCTTTTAAGAATCTGTATTATATTAACTTATTAATCTTTTAAGATTAATATTAAGATTAATCTATGTATTTTCACCCTTTTAATTTCTTATGTTAATTATATTGTTTAATTCAAATCAGAGAGGATGTATCAAAAAATTTTCAACATCCCTCTTATGTATTTACAAGCCGTCCTCCCGCGATTGCACTCGGTCCTCTCCCCGGCTATTTGGATTGAATTTCAAAGCCGAAAAGAAGGATCAACGAGCGTACGACCATGGTATAAAGACAAGGGTATGCTCTTGCGCATATTTCAGAAAGGGCCAATCAGGGACTTTGTGCAAGCTTACGTCACACTGAGCGGAAAATTTAAACAGTGTGACTGTAGACGCGTTTCATTTAACGTTTGCAACGCTCGCGAGCATAGGTGCGTTCAGGAATTATGCTCAGATAACTCTTGGGTGCATTTTTGCTATAATATAGGGTAAGTGCGGGTAATACACCAGTGTGGGGAATATGCCACACGTTTTGTTTTACAATGATACCGATTAGCAGCGCTTGCGTTAATGACACAGAATTATGTACAATTGTGTGCTTAACGTGTTGCATAAGTATCAAGAATTTTCTCGCAACAGTATTATTTTTATGTACGCACACATATATATATATATATGTTATGTACGTATGTATGTGTGTTTTATTTATGTACGTAAGTATGTATATATTTATGTATGTATGTAATTATATGTATGTACGTATTTATGTATATACATATTTATGTATTGTAATGTAATGTAATGTACTGTCTGTAAATGTGTTATAGCGGACATAAGGAACTTAAAGAAAAATGTAGATAAAAAATAACAGCAAATGTAGATATTTAAGAGACAGGTTTTTTTATTACTAAATTTAAATGGTTACAATTGTTTATAATTATTTAAGAGACAGACTTTGTATTGGTATATTTTGATATCTTTTTTTGTTTTCGCCTATGATTTTTAGATGCGATCGTTCGGTTTATTTCGCGCACCCTAATGTACGTTCTGGTTCTAATAAGGCATAGTAAAACCTTTTGCGATATTTTAATTTTCAATTTTGGTTGTATTATTTTTGCTAATGTTTGAAATATAAAATTTTCTTTGTTCAAACTAGATCCGTGATACTTATCAAATTCAATATTCATTATATGCGCACATTGTAATAATTTGTCACTCGGATACATACATTTCCCTCGCGAAATAAATTGCAACCAATCTGAATCATACGTTGTTTCTAGTTGGCGCGTTTCAATACCCAATGTCTTGTCTTTACTTTTAAATCTAAACGCTACGTATCCGGCTATATATTTTAAACCCTCTTCATTGATAATTTCATGAACGTTGAAATCCTCTAATGCTTGTAACAACTGTTCTTCGTCACTTGAAATAATCGCGCACGGATCTAATGTTATACAATGTTCATATGAAGCTTCGCCAATACACAATTCTTCTTCTTCATAACTATAAGTTACAGTAGTGTTTTCTTCTTCAACATAGGATGAAAGTATATCCGTTAACATAGAATCATCGATATCGCAGTTAAGAGGAGATACAAAAATAGGTTCATTCGATTTGTTTTCTTGAACATTACATTCATTTGACAGTGCATATCTAGAATGTTTGCCCAATATATATCGTTTTAATCGGTATTTAAAATCTAAGGGTGTTGGGTGATCGTTCGCACACCCTATTGAACGTAAGAATGAGAACAAATTTTCTAACAAATCTTGATTAAGACGGTAAGTTATTAAATAAGTGATGGGAAAATCGGATGTACTGTATTGTTCTTGTAAGTATAATAATAGTTGTTGTAAAGAAGCGATACTGACTAAGATGCCTTTTTGAAAAGGTAATAAAGTTTTATGCTTTCCTATCCGAGTTTCGTTAATGAAAGACATCATGTTGTTTAAAATCACATTCTGTTCTTCAATATTTATACCGTACGCATTTTTCCCTGTATGTTTACCGTACTTACATTTTGCATTAAAAACATCGAACCAGTCATTACACAATCTGATAACATACGCTGCTTCCTGATATGGTAAATCCAAAAGGTAACTTTTACGGCCGCACCATTCTATCGCAGAAGCTATCGTGTTGGATAAGACTTGCGCAGCAGGAAGAACCTTCTGTCTTTCGGAACCTTGTACATTTAAGTGATACGTAGTGATTTTATGGCTAATTTTTAAATCTCCTGCATTAATGGAAAGCAACTTAAACAATATTTCCTTATCAACTATTTTCCCCTTCCAGATAAACCCTTTGTCCAGAAAATGATTCCTCAACAACTTGAGAAGATGCGGAGCATCTGCAAAAACAAATACTTTTAAGTCATTGCGTGCGGGATGTTGAAAATAAGACTTTTGGGGATGCATTCCTATTTCCAATTGTGACCATAATTTAAGATTGCCCGGACCCAAGTCACTAGTTATAGCAACCACTATATAACCAGCATCATGCAATTTTAAAATAATATTGTTGAGAGTCGTCGCATCCATTGTTTTATCAAATTCGTAATAAACAAGTTGTTTCCAAGATGCAAAAAGGCTTCTTACCATTACACACTGGCAAGTTTTATGAGGACCAATAACCTTTTCTAACTTACGATCTATCGCAATTTTGTCGTTAACATAAATTTCGTCAAACGTTAACACAACTAGTCTTTCAATATCAAGCATGCTCTTTTTTCTTGCAATCATGCAATGGAGCACAGAGAAGAGTATACCCGGTTCAACATCGATTGTACTTGCCCACCTTCTTAATGTTGAAAGGCCTGGAAGTGGTATTTGCAGAACATGCTTCATATAACGATATGCCTTTGGGCTGACACATCGCAAGGATATCGCGTGTGTAATATCTTCGGAAGACCATTTCATCTTACATAGTGAGGGATTCAATATCATCCGTATTTGTCCTTGACTGAATATTTTTCCCAGTAACTCGTACATTTTTCTTTCCACGAGTTCTTTGTCTTCTTTCGGTCTCGCTTTCTCGTACTTCTTTATCGTCTTTTTCAGTGCAGTCACCTGGAGTTCCAGATCGTGTCTGAAAGTGTAAATAATAAGTGTATATGTGTATAATAATAAGTGTATAATAATAAGTGTATAATAATATGTGTATATTATAAGTGTATAATAATAAGTGTTTATAATCGCATTGTAAGTTCGATGGTGTTCGGCATGTAGTTTAAAGAACTAAAAAGATGGATGTAAAAAAATATTATAAGTAACAAGGCTCAAGAAAAATAAATAATGATATAGAAGATCTAGCTATGATCAGTGGCCTTTATGCTTAATATATACTAAATTTATATGTGATTTGTCTACTTAATATACTTACATATTTAATATAACTTACATTTTGGAAGACATAATAGCTTCTGTACTTGTCGATGGAGTTGAGGAACCTTCGTTCGATGCTGACGGAGTCATTATTTCGTCAAATTCCACCGCAGTTGAGGAACCTTCGTTCGATGCTGACGGAGTCATTATTTCGTCTAATACCACCGCAGTTGAAGAACCTTCGTTCGATGCTGACGGAGTCATTATTTCGTCAAATTCCACCGCAGTTGAGGAACCTTCGTTCGATGCTGACGGAATCATTATTTCGTCAAATACCACCGCAGTTGAAGAACCTTCGTTCGATGCTGACGGAGTCATTATTTCGTCAAATTCCACCGCAGTTGAGGAACCTTCGTTCGATGCTGACGGAATCATTATTTCGTCTAATACCACCGCAGTTGAAGAACCTTCGTTCGATACTGTACGAAGATGTAATGTTGGGATAGCATCAGGACGTAACTTTCTAGTTTTTGAAGGAGAATAGCCCAGCAATTGTTGTTGTAAGTTCTTTGTAAAACATGCATCAGAAAAATGCTTTGAACATATCCTAGCTGAGAGAACCAAACAAAATTTATATTCTGTACAGGCTCATAATAATAAATACATTCAGAAGAAAATGTGATACAATATTACCATATAAAGATACATAACTTACAATATTTTGAAATATTTTTTTTTCCACATGCTTGATGCCACTTATTGGAAAGTACTGGATCTTTTGGGAAGGAAAAATATTTTATCTTTCCTCCAATCTTTTTGGTTTTTGCCAAATAATTTCCACATCCGTTCACGTTACACGTCATTGTAAAAAAATTCGAAAATGAAACAAGTGAACTATATTTTCTCATATGACCGAAAAACAACTGCGTACTCTGTCATTTTAGCTATAATCGCAGCCGAATACGCTACCGATCATATCCGATTCATCCAGACTCTACACGAGTATGACGTAAGCTTGGACAAAATACGGCGAAGTGGTGGGAATGCGCAGTGGTCTGACACGAAACGAGCATACCCTTGTCTTTATACCATGCGTACGACCACATCTGGCGTTAAATAAACTATATTTACCTTGAAAAGAAGGCATGCTTAAAATAATACGTTCGAATTTACCGCGTGACATATGCTTGTTGACAATTCTGATTGGCCACTCGGCATCAGTGGGCGTAAACGTGCGCACGAGCATACCCTTGTCTTTATACCATGAACATAAGTATAGTATATCTCGTTCTCGTTCTAATCATGCTATCTGTCTCAGATGGCACGCGACCCCCCTTGCGCGACACCCAACAAGCGTTACCGCTTGTTTTCTGCGTGCGAACGTTCACCGCACAGTTCGTTTCCTGATTCCGGACGATACGGATCGTCTGTCGATACGTTCTTAATTTACATTATTTCGAGCATTAAGTGCGAACCATTTCGAGTTGTCGTCGCGCATTACCGCTGTATTGCGTCAAATTACGTTCCCGGTATATGTGAACCGCGAGGGCATGCAGTACGCGAGAATGCGCGGAGTTTCCGATGATATTTGTCGATCTCGTTACCGCGCGCCATACAGTTCTTTAACGGCTGCGAGATGTTATTCAATGTCGTACCAAATGCGAATCACCTATTCACGCATCTGATCGAACGCATTAATTGTCAGATTACGTGTATCGCCTATCGCCCGCTTCGTTATATCTTCATGCGACACAACAATAAAAGTTAAATTCACCAAAACCAAAAGAGTTGTCGTTATTATACGCCGCTTTGGCGTGCGAGCCTTCCAATACAAGGTGACACCAACATCACAAACAACCCCACCACGAAACAGTTACAGTAGGAGGTATATAAGTAACGTTGACAATGACTCGATCACAAGCGTGCGATTAGCTCAGCGTAAATGTATTAGGCTACCGTTCTAGGGATCGTAGGTTCAAATTTTGCCGGCGATGCCATGCGTTTTTTAATAATTCTTAATTCTTAATGTGCCATGTATATGCCAGGCTAGTCGCCTGGCGGCGCCTTAACAGTCCGTTGGTAACGGCACGACAGTCGCTCGTCAGGGCCACTAGACAAAACGTGACGTTACTGGCGCGGCGCTTGCAAATTTGCCATGCTAGTTCCTAATATGGCAGCATGGCTCCATGCAAGAGTCATACTAGCTCCTTATCTAAATTTCTATTAGAGGGCAGTTCGGAATAAATTTACACTTTTTAAATTACTTATTCGAATATCCATAACAATGGATTTTTTTAACATTAATTTTTTAAATTAAGAAGCGCCATAACGGTCAGAACGTTAAGATGTTGAACTATTGTAAATTCATTTAAATGAATTAATGTCAGAAATGATAATTGCGTGCCGATATGGTTGTCGGACTTTCAACGCAATCAAATCTGAAAATATTAATAATCCCCCCAAATTTCCCAACTTAAAAACTGTAATAAACTTATTGCGAAAAATAATGCCTCGCCCGGGAGTCGACCCCGGATCTCTTGCATTCCGTGCGAGCGTCCTAAGCCTTTAGACTACCGAGACCTTAGCATTATTCTTCGCAATAATTGATATGTATAGAGAGTTACGCATTTCTCAGCGCGCGTGTATAAATAATAATAAGATTGAAAAACCGCTAATGTTAAACATAATGCTTTAAATTAAGAAGCGCCATAACGGTCAGAACATTAAGATGTTGAACTATTGTAAATTCATTTAAATGAATTTCTTAATTTAAAGCATTATGTTTAACATTAGCGGTCTTTCAATCTTATTATTAATTTTTTACATCCTGTAACTACAGTACCACTCAAAAGTGTATCACCTTTAGGTTTTTTTTAACGTAACTTCTTTCAAAGTGAGTCAAATGCGCTCAAATGTGTACAGTAGACATTTGGTGGTAGGTGCATTTTTTATATGATGTGTGATAAAATTTGACAAAGTACACAATGATTTTCGTAATCTTTACTGAATTTCCCCAAATCGCTCTTTTGTGCTTTCTTTGTTTTTCGTGTCACAGCTATTGTTTTTACCATCATATCTAATTTTAACAGTTAGACTATCGGTTTACATTATGGCAAGGATTCATGGTACTCGAGATTTGGATGAACGACAACAGAAAGCCATCGTAGAAGGCCACAAGCAAGGATGGACGCATAAAGGGCTTGCCCAACAATTTGGCATCTCTAAATCAACAATAACTAAATTTCTTAAGCGTTGGAGAATTCAAGGAGGTTATATTAAGAAAAAGAGAAGCGGCCGACCGCATTGCATTAATTCTGTTGTCGATCGCACCATTCTTCGTCTATCTCGCAGCGATCCACGTCTCACGTGGCACCGGATATTGTGAAGGAAAGTTGATTCCTGGACAGCCTTGTTTATTCGTACTGATCATGAAACGTCGCCAAGCTGCAGGAATGTATGGACGACGACCCGTGAAAAAGCCGTTTATTTCTGCAAAGAATCGGAATGTGCGAGTGGAGTAGGCCAAAACACATCTGAACTGGACATGTCAAGAATGGTCTGATGTCTTCTGGAGCGACGAAAGTAAGTTGATGTTATTTAGTAGTGATGGAATATCAGATATTCATCATTACCAAATAACATGTACTTACTATCGTCGCTCCAGACGACGTCAGACTCGGTCAGACCACTTGCCATAATGTAAAACAATAGTTTAACTGTTAAAACTAGATATGATGGTAAAAACAATAGCTGCGATACGAAAAACAGAGAAAACACAAAAGAGCGATTTGGGGAAAATCAGTATCTAAAGGTTACGAAAATCATTGTGTATTCTGTCAAATTTTATCATACAGCATATACAAAGTACACCTACCATCAAATGTCTACGTACAAATTTGAGCGCATTCGACTCATTTTGAAAGAAGCTCAAAAAATCTAAAGATGATACACTTGAGCGATATTGTATACAGGATGATCCAGAACAACCCAGATGTCCCTGAAAAGACGTATTCCTGATCTAATTCTAAGATGATTTTTCCTTTACAAAAATTTAGTCCAAAGCTAAGTTTTCAAATTACAAGAAGAAATAAGTAGCGTATCACGGGCCGCATAGAGGAGACTAGCAGGAGCGGCATTCACGATTAGACGCAGGCGTTTTACTCGCGCACACTGATCGGACGCATTCACACATTTATAAAAACACGTTTGTTCTCTCACTTTTCATTTCTGTCACACTACCTCTTTATCTTTCACATACTTTAAATATGCTAATTTCGTTAAATTATGAATTAGAATAATGAAATTGAAATAAATATTGAACTCTTTGATAAGGGAAGTTATCCGGATATCCAATTAGTTTTGAAAAAGTAACGGTTAGAAGTTATAATATTCTACCTCCTATTAACTAAAATGAGTGCCATTCGCTCGAAAAATTTGATATTTATTAGAAAAATGGATTTAAATTCCGCTTTAAGCGGCTCCGAAAATGGGTTTAAGGAGGTTTGCCTATTAGTCGAATATCAACTTAAATATTAAATTTTTTAATATGTTGTAGATATACTGTACACAAATAATTCCACAATTTGAATAATATTGACCGTATAGTTTTTTTTGTAATGTTATTCTAAAGTTGACCATTTTAAGCATATGGCCTTATGGGAGGCGGTCGTTCCGAAATAGATAATCACCGATTTAATACATACTCACCCGAGTTAGGACTTTGAAAAACTAGGATTTGGCAGATGAAATATCAACAATTGTGTACAAAAAAGCAAAATCGGCCTTTACCGTATGGATTTAAAGCTTTATTGTCACAAAGTTTACCTTTACCTCACGGATCGTATTAGTAGTAAGAGACTTGGCAACGCCGCAGTGCATAGCTGATACGAACTTCATAGAACCTAAAATCCATCTCTGATGTGACTGTCTATCACATCGCGAAGTGCAACGTTGCCAAATATACACTCGACCTTCCGAGTTGACAATCTTATACATTTGTTAATATTCTATACACTAATAATTTACTTATAAGGGAACCTCTCGAGGTGTCAAATTCTGATTTTAATGAAACTTTGTGAACTTGTAGCTTACATAAAGAGATGAATTTAGAAAATATAAGTTGCGGCTAAAAAACGGTTTGAAAGGGTGAAATCACAAATAAAAAAACTTGGCACCGCTAGCAAACTTGGCTTGTTCTAGCGGCGCCAAGTTTTTTTTACATTAAAATTTTTTTATTTCAATTAGATACTCTTATTTTCATGTATTTTTGTTTAAAAGTAGTCGTGTAACATCCGTATAATAATATCCGTATAGATAATCCTGATGATATACCAGAAGATCGACGAAGAATTGAATATTCTCAGTGAGTGTCCTCACCTGATTTTTTGGCTTATGGATCTTCTCGATATCGTCTTTCGTCCTTGCGACATAGTCCAGTCAATAGATGATACTACATAAAAGATAACTATCAGAATGTAAATCAATTTATGTGTATGATACAATTGTTCAGTTTCAAAGTAAACAGCTACTACACTAAATGTATATTTAATAATAAACCATAAATTTGTGTTAGAGTTAAAAAATAAATTTAACAATAACTGCGTCCAGCAGAGAAAGCTAATCAGTTAGGGATTAATGATTCTTTAATATGATTGGTTCTTGTATTTAGTTCTTCGCTGAATCTAAATGTAAGAACTAATCATATTAAAGAATCATCAAACGCTAACTGATTAGTTTTTTCTGCTGGACGCTGCCAATGTATATACACGGAAAAATAATTTTTGCTGAAAAAATCTAAAAATATAGTTAAATATATTAGGTGTATAAATTAATTCTCGGCCTTTTTTTTTAGTGAGAATTAAGG